GCAGGGTGGGGTGAGGGGATTTCCAGAGTTCAGGACCCTGATTGGCTGATATTTGTCTAGGGGGATAGGGAATGTTTGGAATGTCAGGTATTTCCTCTTAGATGCAGGCCCCACTGGGTGGGGTCAGCTCATGGCTTTTCCTGGGTCCAGGTGTTGCCTGCCAGAAACTGTGTCTGGGCCTCTAAGCCTGACATGGCAGCTGTGTGGTCAAGCTATTTTGCCCCTCCCCCCACCATAGTCATGTCTGTTGACATCATTGCATAGTGTTTTTTACCTCACTACTTATCACAAAATAAATTAGCTATTTAATTCTTTGAATTTTCTCTAATGCCTAAGAGGGAGGTTTATAAGCCTTGAAAACTTAATTTACATTGTTAATTTAACATCAAATTACCCAATAGCCTAATAAGATAATTTAGTGCTGTTCTAATTTTGTACATGAGATAAATGAGAGACAGAAAGGTTAAGACCATTGTGCAAGGGCCTTGCAGTTAGGAAATTTGGCCCAAGTAATACTCCACCCAACAATTTACTGACCTTACTTATCATTATCTGTACCAAAATTTCTCACCCTTTATTTATTTAGATTTATTTTATTTTTAATTATATGTGTGCATGGGTATGTGCACATGAATGTGAGTATCCTCCAAGGCCAGAAGAGGGCACCAAATCTCCTGGAGCCAGAATTTCCAACTGTTGTAAGCCACGCTAAGTGAGTACTGGGATGTGAATTCAGAGTCCTCTGCAAGAGCACCAAGCTCCACTCACCGCTGAGCCGTTTTTCCAACGTCACAATTCTCATCCTTCAAATCAGGCACGTGTGAGCACCTGCTCATGGTGGGGCTCATGGTGATAAGTGTATATGACAGCGCGGGTAACAAGCTCATCACCAATACCTGGCCTAGATCATCACTCAAGAGGGCTGGGGTATAGCAGATTCTTGGCTTGTGGGTCCCCAACACTAGCAAGGGAAGGACATTTGCTATGACTGCTAATACTGCCGTCACTCCCCTTTAGTTATCCGTCCGCACCTTTTAGCACCACCCACCTGCTCCCAGGTGAGTGACTGACCTCACACACAGTTGTTATCCTTGCGCTTGGGAGGTAGAGGCGGAAGGATCAGGAAGTCAAGGTCATTCTTGGTTATATTATATCCAGTTTGAGGCCAGTGTGGATTACATCAGACTCTGTCAAAAAACACCAGACATAAAAAAAAATGAAAGTGAAAATCAGTATTTCTAGAGTGCTGAGAAGATAAATTCAGAGAGATGTGACTGAGTGATAGATGGGGGGCTCATTCAGGTTCAGGGGTGGTTAAGGGAGGGCAGTCTGAGGAGGCAAAATGTGAGCCATGACCTAAGCCCTAACACAGTCGGTCATGGACCACAGCTATGGGGGAGGAGCACTGTGGATGGGAGTGCAAAGGTCCTGGGGCAGGAACCCTAAGGCTAGGAATTGAAGCAACTCTGGTCCCATGTGCCATCCTTTATGGCTTCTCTAGGCCCTCAGAGAGGTACCTTTGGTGTCCTGGGATTTCCTCAAGCTCAGTCTCCCACCTATCCAGGAAGGCAGCAGTTCATGGAGGCCCGAGGCCCCCCCTTCTAGAAGACCTGCAGCTAAGCCGGATCTGAGACTCCTGGTTCCTGTCTGCCTTGTCTTCTCCAGCTTGGGGCCCCAAATCTCCATGGCAACGCTCAGACGCAGTTCTAATCCAAAGGAGGAAGATCTGGGAGTGAGGAGACCTGAGGAGCTGGTCTCCCTGCTCCTTATGCCCTAGGCACTTACAGGAGCAGCCAGGCCCTGCACCCCAGTCTCCCCAAAGACCCCCAAGGGGATTCCAGGGTCTGCCCCCTGCTGGGCACAGACCAAGGATGGCTTTTCTTTGGCAGCTGCCCCCGAGGCTGCTCTTGCTGGGGACAGCTGCTCTGACTGTGTCTGCCCTGGGGACAGGTGAGTAGGAAGGGCCTGGAAGGGGCACACCTTATTCCCAGGCTTCCTCCAGTCATCACTAACTCTGGTGGGCGTCTCTTGATAAGGGAGGCTGAGCCTTGCTTAGTATCCTAATGTCTATTCCAACCCCTTCTAGAAGATCTCAGAGGCAGGGATCTGTGGGATGGGCGGGGTAGCCCTTGGCTCTGGGGCTGTGGATGAGACCGTTTGCATTGGGCATTCCTGCATCCTATCCTGATATCACTGCTTCCTCTCTCCTCTCTCTCCTGTGGTCAAGGAGACAGGGGTGCATCTCAGTAATAGAGCATGCGCTGAAGATGTATAAGGCCCTGGGTTCCATTCCCAAACCACATAAAAAACAAAATTAGAGCTGGGCAGTGGTGATGCACACCTTTAATCCCAACACTCAGGAGGCAGGTGGATCTCTGAGTTTGAGGCCAGCCTGGTCTACAAAGTGGGTTCCAGGACAGCCAGGATTATTACACAGAGGAACCCTGTATTGAAAAACCTAAATAAATAAGAATAGCCATGAGTGATCCAGAGGTGGTTCCTTCCGCAGCTAACTCATGTCAGAACCTCATCTTCGCTGAGGGTTGCTGTGACTCTTGGCACTACTTTCTCAGTCAACTGGAAGGAAAAAGAGCTTCTCATCTCATTTCACTTTATTATTATTATTATTGGTTTTTCAAGACAGGGTTTCTCTGTGCAGCTTTGGAGCCTGTCCTGGAACTCACTCTGTAGACCAGGCTGGCTTCGAACTCACAGAGATCCGCCTGGCCCTGCCTCCCGAGTGCTGGGATTAAAGGCGTGCGCCACCACCACCTGGCTCATCTTTTACTTTTACAATACTAGATGTTGAACCTAGAGCCTCCCAGGGGTTAGGTACATACTCTACTTTTGAGCTCTATCCCCAGCCTGCGGTTAAGGCAGACTTTCACTAAATTATCCAGGCTGCCCCTGAACACACTCTATAGCTCCGGCAGGCCTTGTGTTTAAATTAATCCTCCTGGCTGGGATTGCAGGACGGCAGCACCCAGCTATTCCTGCTTGGTTTTCATCACCACCAGGGACAAATGGCTGAGGTGCCTAGAAACAGATCAGAGTGGACCTCAGCCCCTGTCATAGGGCCCTCCTGGCTGACATACCCACCCATACCCCACCCCCTACCCTGAACTCTCCAGCTCTGGGGGCTGGACTACTCTTCCCTATATAATCCAACCACTTTGGTTACCCACTCTTTGTATTTTGGGCCTCCTGGCTGCTACACCTGGCTTCCCTCTCTCCCCTCCCTTTCCTCCTCCCCATCTCCTCACATGGCCCAGCTCAGTCTGGACTTGTCCACTCTGGATTCTCCCAGAGGTCCCTGCTTCTGGCTGTGCTCTCCCATAATCTATAATAAACTTTCTCCACCATACCTAGGAGCAGTCATGTCCTTCCCTTTCTTTTTTCATTCTGTCCTTGTTATTATTATTTGCTGTTGTTTATATATTGAGTAAGGTCTTGCTTGATATGCAGTCTAGATGGTCTCAAACTTTGGGCAATCCTCCTGCCTCTGCCTCTTGAGTGTGCACCACTATGCCTGTTTCTTTTTTAATCATGGAGGAAAACTATTCCCCAGAAACTCCCACCAGATCTCTCCTTAAATCTCATAGGTCAGAACTAGGTCACATAACAATCCCCAAAGGGATAGAATTAGGCCCTCCTTTAGCAAGGAGAAACAAAGAATGGGAGGTGGGTGGGCAGGCACTCAAATGTCCAAATGTATCCACCTCATCCTCACAAAAGATAACAGAGGTTGCTGACACTTTAGTAATGCAATGAATTCTGAGCAGTGGGGGCGGGGGTGGTAGTGGAGGACACGACCTTATTCCTAGGTGCCCGGGAGGTTTTTTGTTGTTGTTGTGTAGGTTGTTGTTCCAACCTACAAAATACTTGGAAAAGTAACATTTGTTATTTATTATTTTCTTCTTTTTTGTTTGTTGTTTATTTTATTTTATTTTATGAGTAAAACCAAAACTTATTCTAAGCCACAGTCATCCTAGGGTCCCCCCACCGACATTTTTTTTTATCTTGACCACAAACCTAATTTGACCGGAGCCGTTTGTTCCACCCCCGGCTACGTCTGGCTGTCGACTGTTTCTGTCCATTCTTCCCACAGTTAACACAATAGCTCTTGGGATAGTATCTGAATGTAGAGAGGTCTGCAGATGCCCCAGCAGCCATGGAAATATGTTGTATATACATTTCTCCCCTTTTTTAAAGGCAGGTCTCCTGTATCTCGGCTGGCCTTGAACTGTCTGTCTGTGTAGTTAAGGGTGGCCTTGAACTCCTAGTCCTCCTGCCTCCGCTTTCTAAATGTTGGGATCAGAGGTGTGCGGCACCCAAAAAACCTTATTTACATTTTATCTCCCTGTCTCTGTCTCTCTCTTTGTCTCTGTCCCCATCTCTCCCTCTCTCTTCCCCCCTTCTCTCATTTTTGTTTTAGTTTTTTTTTTTTTTGGTTTTTTTTTTTGTTTTTGTTTTTTTTTGACACAGGGTTTCTCTGTGTAGTTTTGCGCCTTTCCTGGAACTCACTTGGTAGTCCAGGCTGGCCTCGAACTCACAGAGATCCGCCTGCCTCTGCCTCCCGAGTGCTGGGATTAAAGGGTGCGCCACCACCGCCCGGCTAGTTTTTGTTTTGAGACAGTCTCACGACATAGCCCTGGCTGTCCTGGAACTCACTACGGAGATGAAGGCTGACCTTGATCCACCTGCCTCTGCCTCCTGCGTACTAAGGCATGCAGGGTGAAGCCTGGCTATCACTGTTTTCTTTTATGAGACAGGGTCTGAATTTGTAACACAGGCTAGCCTTAACCCACTATGCCCCTTCCTGTCCTCCAGAATATTGGTTTTACGAGCAGATGCCACCACCCTAGGGGCTGAAGTCCAGAGCTCTCAAATAAGGAGGTGTGACTTTGAATTAAGTCATAAAGTGCTCAAGCAAAATTCATCTCTGTTTTGCCGATGAGGCTCATAGAGGATGTGCGACTTGCTGGGATCAAGCAGCGAGCATGTCCCGGAACGGCCGGGTGACCCCGCATGATCCCTGCGCTCTCCCTTCAGGGGACCTGACGGACCTGTGCGGACAGACGTGGCAAGGGGACGCGCTGCAGCTGCGCTCTCACTCCGCTTCGCGAAAGTTCTACTTCGTGACTCCGGACACTGATTGCGTGCTGTGGCTGCGTGCCGCGGCCCCTGAAGATAGGATGCGCTTCCAGTTTCGCTTCTTCCTGGTCTACAGCCTGTCCTCGGCCACCCGGATCACAGCAACCACCCTGGCCCCCAATGCGTCCTCACCCGACCCGTGCGCACCCGGCTCCTACCTGCAGTTCTACGACGGCCCGCAGGGGGCGCCCCGGGCTCTGGGACCCCCGACCTGCGGCCTGACCATCCCAGCCCCTCTCACGTCCTCTGGACCCTGGCTTGGCCTGCGCTTGGTCACCAGGGGCCGCCAGCCCCGTGTGGACTTCTTGGGCGAGGTGACCTCTTTCCGCTTGGGTGGGTTGGGACTGATGGCCAGGGTAAGGCGAGGAGAACAGAGCAGGAGAGGAGATGCTCAGATGACAGGAAGGGAGGAATGGGGTCCCAGCTGGGAAAGATTGGGTGACATGGAAAGGCTTGGGGAACCAGTGAGGGATGAACCAAGATCTACAAGTCCTGCCTCCTTCCAGCCTTGACACTCACTCTCTAGGCACACTTCAGAGCGCGTTCACACAGGACACCAGTTGACACCCAAACCACACCCATATCGCACTTACAATTGAACCCAGACTCACACACACACACACACACACACACACACACACACACCTCACACACTCACCTTTTTTTTTTTTTTTTTTCCTTTCAAGACAGTATTTCTCTGTGTAGCTTTGGCTGTCCTGGAACTGCTCTGCAGACCAGGCTGGCCTCAAACTCACAGAGATCTACCTGCCTCTTGAGTGCTGGCATTAAAGGCGTGCGTCACCACCGCCCAGCTTGTTTGTTTTTTGAGACAAGGTCTCACTCTGTAGCCCAACTTGGCTTTGACCTAGAGATCTTTCTGCCTCTGCTCCTGAAGTCTGGGATCATAGGCCTTCAACAACATTATGTCTGGTTCAAGCCAAGGTGGGTTTTTTGTTGTTGTTTGTTTGTTTTGGGTTTTTGTTTTGTTTTGTTTTGTTTTTTGAGACAGGGTTTCTCTGTGTAGCTTGGCGCCTTTCCTGGATCTCGCTCTGTAGACCAGGCTGGCCTCGAACTCACAGAGATCCGCCTGCCTCTGCCTCCCAAGTGCTGGGATTAAAGGCATGCCTGACTCAAGCCAAGGTGTTTAATGCTGGAAGCTGTCCTGTATTTCATGGCTGTAGCCCTGCAGGTTGCCCTACATCTAGACTCACCTGCTGATTTCACTACTGTGATGTAGAGCAGGCTGGTTCCCCAAAGCCCAGAAGAGCCCAGACTCACTTGGAGCTTTCCAGTCATTTCTGGCTAAATCTCCAGACTGGAGTGTTAAGCATGGGGCATGTGAGCATGCCAAGGCCAGGACGTGGAGGCCTTTGGGACAGCCATAGGTTCTGGAGGATAAGATGGCGGGACTGCTCTTGGCTATGAGCTACATGGTCCTACCCTTAGGCAGGTTCATGTGCCTGCTCAGCTACCACTCACCTTTTGTCTGCCCTTGAATTGTGTGTGTGTGTGTGTGTGTGTGTGTGTGTGTGTGTGTGTGTGTGGTGGAGGATGGGAGGTGTTGTCCCATCCCTTTTGAGTCTCTGGTTCTATATGAAATGTGTGCCCTAAGTGGTGTGTGTATAGAGATCAGAGGTCCTTTCCTCCTCTACTATATGGGTCTCAGGAATTGAACTCTGGCCATCGTCATGCTGGGTGGCAATCGCCTTTGCCTGCTGAACCATCTTACTGGACTCTAGCTTATTTTTTGAGACAGTCTGTCACCTAGAGACCCCTGTTTCAGCAAAAGTAGCTGGCCAGCAAGCCTCCAGTATCGGCCAGTCTCACATGCCACCCCCAGCGTGACAGGAGCACACCACTGTGCCCAGATTTTACATGGGTGCTGGGCATCCGAACTTAGAAAGCTCTTTACCCGTTGAACTGTCTCCCCAGCTCCTTGATCTTCTGAGACAGGGTCTCATGTAGCTCGGGCAAGCCTTGAACTTACAATGTGGAATGACCTTGAATTTCTGGTCCTCCTGCCTCTGCCCCCTAAATGTGGGGAGTACAGGTGAGCTGTCATACCAGGCTCTAAAGCATGGGATACTGGATTAGCCAAGCTGTCTGCCAGACTCTGTATATATACTGCTTTCATTCTTTCCCTCATGGGTGGTTCTTCATAAACATGAATTGAGCACCTGCTGTATGCCAGGTGCTCCCATAGGCACTAAGGATATTGCAGCAAGTAGAAGAGAAGGCCTTGTGTTCTGGGGGCTGGCTTGCTGGTGGGGGAGGTAGGCTGTAAGCAAATGAACAAGTGAATCTGTGTTCAGTAGATGGAATAAGTGCTGTAGAGGACCTTCAGTTGGGATGAGGGTCCCTGGGGGAGGAGGAGCTTGCAGGTGTAGGTAGGCTGAGGGATAAAGTAGCATTTGAGTATGCAAGGAAAAGTATTGGCTCAGGACCCCCAAGACCAAGTTCTTGGCACAAAGGAGATGTATTTGCCCCAGAGGGACAGAGGGCAGGGAATAAGAGACAAAGAAGAGCAGCCGGGCGGTGGTGGCACACGCCTTTAATCCCAGCACTCGGGAGGCAGAGGCAGGCGGATCTCTGTGAGTTCGAGGCCAGCCTGGGCTA